GGATAAAGAAAAAAAATATTTAGTTGAAAAAATATTAAATAAATTTATCTTTATAGTAGTTTTGGATTTTTTTTTTATTGATCCTTCTAACTTTTGTTACAACCTCAAATGAGTTTTTTATTTTTTTTTAGCCTTTTATTTTTATTAGATCCATCAAACTTTTTTATTTTTATTCAAATCTTTTTTTTGGTAAACTAAGAAATGGTAAATGAAATCATAATCATATATTCGGATCTTTTTATTTTTATTCCAACATTTTTTATTTTTATTCCAACATTTGTATTTTTATCTTTTATTTTTATTCCAAAATTTGTATCTTTGTCTCTTTAATTATATACAATGTATCTATGTTTTATATCATAGTGAAATAATAATTAAATATCAATTATTTTTTTGGCACTTGTCTTCTCATAACAAATATTTTTTTTCATTTAAGATCCAACCTAATAAATTTCATTTAATTTAATAACAAGGAACTAACTTATAGTTTTTTTTAAAAAAATTATAATTTACTATAATTATTATCTCTTAAAACCTATAACTTTTTTTTAAAAAATTATAATTTACTATAATTATTATCTCTTAAAACCTATAACTTAATATGAATTTTTATGGTTAGGACATAATTTTTCTACAAAACCAAACCTTTGTATAAAAGGAAATTCTAATGACATGCTTTTAGTTCAAGGAGCAAAACAACAAGGTACAAAAAGCATAGCACAAAGGAAGCTGGATGCATTAAATGATATTCCATGTAAATGACATGTAGTATAAGAGCACAAGACCTCAAAAGAACAAAGCATTAAGGAGACCATAGTAAATAATAATAAGAACGCAACACACCGCTTTCGTGCCAAGAAGAACCCAAAGGCTGATTAATTATTGAGGAAGATAACTTGCTGCCACGTTTAAAAACCTAATTCATCATATTGAACAAAGTCATGTCAGGACCCAGAAATTAAAAAAAAAACCAAATAACAAAGCAAGCATTAGGTACTGTAACAAAATGAGTAAATATCATAGATTTTTATCCAAAATTCAATAGCTGAAGCATACATGTAGATTAATTATATAGCAAGTTCCAAACTTCCTATTATATCTAGAATGCTTTTGAGTTAAAAAAAATAAAATAAAAAAATAGTTAAATTAAGGAAATTTTTAAAAACAGAGAAAGCAAAATATATACATAAATGAAATTAAATAGTGCAATTATTATATTTAATGTATTAAAAAATCATGTCCCATTTCTTACTTTGTTTCTCTAACCTTTTTAAATTCTCAATGTGACTATCATATTAAAATATAATTAAGAGCATTTTTTGTTACTGTAGACATTCGATTTATTATGATATTTTTGGTTTGAAAACATTGATGCAATCGTAGTTGTAGCGACATTTCCAAACAAGCATCAACAAGTAGCCTATTGTTTTTGTTTTTATTTTTGGAGGGTGGGGGGGCCTCTTTTCTTCTTTTCATATCTCCATATCTCTGTAAATCTAAGAGCTTGACAGCTCCACAACAATTGTGAGCTTTAGTCATCTCAACAAAGGCAGAGATGATGTGTTGCTAAAATATTCCCGAAATAATTCATGTACCTTATTGAGAATACTTCTCTTTTAAGATTAACCTTATTAAGCATACTCAAGAATAAACACAAGGTTATACTGATTTGGTTTTGTCCTTTACAAACTACGTCTTTATGGATAATTAAATATTGAAAGCATACTGCTTTACGGTACTACAGGGATCAAATTAGCTTTAGTTGATTTTCAGTTTCAACTAACCTTTAGTTGATTGAAATGATTAAGCATGTTTCATGCTCTCCACAGACACATATACATACATTTATGTCTACTAACAGTCAAAATAAATCACTTGAGAACTTTATTATTCAGGAAAAGGAAAAGGGCTTCGACAGATAAAGCAATGGAACTAGAATCAAGTTCCTAAAGCAAGTATTAATTTCATAAACATCTGACATCAATGAAATCCAAGAATTGACATAAATATTTGATATTACAAGGTTTTCTTGGCTATCTTTCAGTTATGAAAAGTGGAATATTTCCATGTTATCATATACAATTATCTCTTAAGATAGCCTTTTAGAATCTACTTTGTTGAGAGCAATTTTTTCCTCCTGTTCCAAGCATAACCACCATAAACATTAAGCCGCCCAACTTCCATCCATGCACATCTTTTTTAACTTGGGATAAAAAAAATAAAAAAAAGTAGAATCAAGTTCTTGTCAAACCCACCTTAATTATAGAGGCATATATGCCCTACCGAGAACTTGGAAACCCGAGACAATGTATATAGAGAATAGAGAGAGTTCCAATTAAAATATCTCCAAGCAATTGCTACTGTTATGGCATGTTCAACTAGTATGTGGTGCTGACATTCTACCGCCATTATCCAGGACAAGCCACTCTTCTAAACCATCAAAATAAAGAAAGCTTTCACTAGTAACTATTTGTTTACCACGGCAACAATACTAATAGCTAGCGCCGCCATGTTAAAAGGACTCCTTCAAGACTCTTTAGCTATAGTAAGGTCGCCAGAAAAAAACTAACTCATGGACACGAATCTAACTTGATATTCATCATCTCACAAACTAATCCACCAAATAGTAAGTGTATATTTATTTGCACAACCATCCACGCAATTACCCCAGAAATAAAGAGAGCATGTTTAGCTTGCTTAAAAAGAATGAATGAAGATACAAAAATAAAACACAACATCAACAACCAAGTTTCTTTTTATATATATAAGCATATGAATACATTCAAATCACAGCGCACAGGAGGACAAAAAGACTTGCAGACATCAAAGAACACCCAGCATCAAAATACTAATTGTTAAAAATTAAATTGGGGGTTTTGCTAAATTTTCAATTAAACATGCATAATTTCCATAAATCACTCTCTTCCAGACATAAGAATTGCCAGCATTGGTCAAGTTGCATAAAATCATTCAATTTATGAACCGTAACCCTAAAAATTAATTTGGGGGTTTTCATAAATTTTCAATTAAACATGCATAATTAGATTATAAATCATGGTAAAAACATTTTATAAACCTTATATTATTGAATTAATAGCTTCAATTAAACATTCATAATTAGGTTATAAATCATGGTAAAAACATTTTATAAACCTTATATTATTGAATTAATAGCCTAAAACCATTATTCAAAGTATCGGAAAAAAAAATTGTTACCTGTGTTCTTCAGTTACAGATGAGGGAGATGGATCAACACGAAAAAATAACACCTGAGATTAGAAAATTTAGGTTAGAACTGTTTAGTGTAACTTCAATTGCAACAAAAAAAATAAAAACCCTAAATTAGTTACCTGAGCTATTGAAGAAAAAAGTGCAAAACCTAACCCGTTTACAGAGAAGGGGTAAATCAGGATGTTCGAAACTGATGATGATGGGTCTGGTGCGATGTTACCATGGGTCTCTGTTTTTCTTGGTTTATATAGAAATATTGAAACTGGTAAGATGAAGGAGAAGAAGATGAAGAAAACAAATTAGGGATGCTGAAGATGAATGCGAAAATGATGAACAGTTTGGGATAAAGGAAGATGAAATCGATGACGAGAAGGTGATTTTTCAACAGTTAGGGATTGATATTGTTATTCGGGATGAAGGATGCACTGGAAGAGTGAAAGTGATATAATTTTCAGCTGTAAATGATTTTGTTGATCTGCGTATTTCGGTGTGGGGGGAGAGAGCAAAAATAAACGGTTTAGATTTTATGCAATCAACGGTCTACATAATTTCAGCTTTATATTAACATTTAAATTTTATTTTTTCAATTAGCAACGGAAAATCCGTTGCTAAATTCAATGTAAATTTTGCAACCGATTATTCGTTACTAAAATCCATTGCTAATATTAAAAAAATAATATATATATAATCCCTTGCAAATCTGTTACTGAATTTAGCAACGGAATTATCCGTTGCTAAATTCAGATGCTAATAGCCCCTGTTTTTTGTAGTGATGGCTCTGTGAAAAATTTATTCAATAGAAAGAGAGAGCGCGTCGGATTCAACAGCAGAGATCAAGAAAGGGGGGCTCATAAATTTGAAATAAGCTTTAGCGATAATTAATATTTAAATTATGAATAATGGTAAATAATAATAATAAAAAATAACACCTAAAAGAGGGAAGAGTTCAAATAATAACAATTATCAACATTAAATTGATTTGATGTTACAATAATACAA